AAGAGCTTCCAATACAGGTGGTACCTCACAATTTGACCATCCCAAAATTTGATGGTAGAATTTGCAGGGAGGTTGACTTGCAATTTGATCCTTGCCCCACAATTCAACCTGCTCTGGCCATTTTTGTGTGTGTGTTTTTGTATTGATATTTTTGAATTTCACGAAGTGTCTCACAACTCGACCGCTTTGCAATTCGACCCTACTTTGGCAACGGATTAGGGTCAAATTTCAAGGTACCATCTGTACCATTTATTCATTCCATATGACTTCACATTGCCCTGTTAATCCACTTTCTGGATGGTGGACTTCCCAGTGAAACGTATCATGTCCATTCATCCACTTGTTTGTGTGTATCTGTGTGTGTGTGTGTTTTTTTTCTTTCTCTTTTGTTGAATTCCGAGTTATGGTGGATGGCGTCCCCAGCGCAACGGCGGCATTTCCGTGTTCCTGTTCCGAAGATTCTCCGTCTCGTGCCTGGTCTTTTTCGGCGCCACGGGGACGGGCACCGGCGCCGGGTCCCGCGTGAATGGAATGTTGGGTTGGGCGCGCATCGGGAAAACGTATTCTGTACGTACGTAGGTGCGCCTCGGCGTGGGACGATCAGGCGACCGAAGTGGGCTCAAAAAAAAAAAAAAAGAAAAAAAAAACGCGCTGCTGCTCATGTTCCGCATTAATACTATTCACTATAGCCACAGGCCAGAGGAAAGAATGAATATATATGGCTCTTCTTAAAAAGGGGGTTTCCCCCGCCAACCTTTGGGAAGAGCAAGTACAGTATAGGATACCAAGAAGAAGAAGAAGATGGAATGAATTGACTGTGCTTTATTTTTTTTTATTGGGGGGGGGGGGGTTGCTGCTGGTACTGTACCACAGGCACACTCTGGCCTATAATCTAAGTGGTCCAGCACCACCACTTACTATATCTCGACAGTACCTCTTCAACGAGTAACGTTCGACCGACAAGTCTGTTAAACTAGGTAATAACTTAAAAATCTAGGTATTATTGTAGGGAAACGGACAATTCCCCCGATTATAATTCCCCCGCCTCTATTCCCCCGGCTCTAAAATCCCCGATCCTAAAATCCCGATTTTTAAAATCCCCAACGTTTATTCCCCCCGGTGTCTAATTGCCCCGAAATAAAAATCCCCATTAACTAAAATCCCCGAAAATGCAAAATCCACAAATATACAAAATATCACCAAAAATGAATTTGGCCAAAATCGGATTATTTTCGTATGCTGTGGTGTTTTTCTGAAGGTCAGAAAAGACCTTCCAGGTGGGCTGAGGCAAAGTTGGGATTAATCCAAGAAAAAGCCCATTGCTTAGCATAGGATTTCTTTCATTTTCCCACAAAATTTTTCTGTGCAAAAAGAATTGACATGGTGTCCGTGTGAGACCGGATATTAGATTCACCAGGTCGTGGTGGTGAATGATATAGAGCTGTCATGGAGAAGTTGCTCATTGCAAGCTGGCTGTTCAGACAATTTGATCCATTATTGAATTAAAACTAGGTATTATTGTACTGTGAGACTGGGACGCAAAGTATTTTTGTCTATGACCAGATGCCTTCTTTTGGATTCAGTTGAACCTTGAAAACTCAAACATTCTCGAGTTAGATACCTCCCCAATTTTTTAGACCCTGTGTAAATTCCCTTAGAAATAATTGAAAACCTTCCCAACTCTAAGGCTTTCCTCCTCAAGCCACCATAACTTGAACTTTCTGGAGATATTTTGGCTATTATTTTACTGACCCAGGAAGGAGAAGAACAATAAAAAAGTAACTTGATGTGTTTTGAAAGGAAGTGAAAGATGAAATAGGCAAATGAACTCTTGCTTAAAAGTTCAGCATCCTGTCAACTCATTCAAGAAGCAATTTTAGGCATAGAGTATTATCAATTACAATATGTTGTCAACCTTCTTTCTTTCCCCAACAAAAATGCTTATTTCCCTTCTAACTCAGATTTTTTTTGCTGCTGGTCCCTTGAAGTTCAAATTCAAGTTTGACTGTATTTGAAAATCATAAAATATGCAGATTGATAATATGTTGAGAAGTCTTTGTCATCCTGTTTGTGCAATTGAAAAAATAACTATAGGTTTAGCATTATGCTATCATGCAATAGTTGCTGTACCTAAATATTACTCAAATAATGACACCAACATTCCTGGTTAAATATAGTTGGCTAGGTTGCTTTGGACCCACTCCAGTGACACCTACCTAACAATTATGGAAGATAACCTGTCTACCTGTAGCAGGTAAATAACTTTTCTGCTATACATTGAAGTGCAGAGGTTCCTTTTTTACCTAATGACTAGCTACTTTTCAAAAGGAGATACAAGATGAAATTTGCTGGAGTTGCAGCACAGTTCCACAAGTGTGAAAGGGATTGTGCCTTGAATGCTATTTGGTAGAACAGTGAGAAATACTTTTGGGGTTGTGGTTAACAAACAAAATCCATTTCATGGCAAAGTTTTTAAGCTGGATTTTGGTTTTCAAGAACAGTACACAAAAGGAAAAAAATTGTGGACCAATGTGCAATAGCTGGATTAGTGTTGATTAGCAAGGTAGATAAGGTACAAATACAATGTTAGTGAGATGCAATGATTATTAACAGAGGTTTTTACAAAGAAAGACCCCACTTTATGAGGCACTTGGTGCTTTTAAAACCAACCATTTGTCTGAAATTTTGTTTGATGTAAGCTTGGTGTTACCTGTTGTGTTATATCTCCATAGTTTTCTGACCAGGCTATCTTGCATTTGGTTGTTTTAATGGTTCAGTGAACACCTGACTGCTGTTTAAAGATGTTGCAAATCATATTGGTGGATGTTCTCTGAGTTTCACCTGCAAATGATTTTCACATCATCTGCTGGTTGCTTAAACCTTCACCTTGTAACGAACTTGGAACACTTACGACTTTCACCCTTTTATTTCGAACGACAAGTTAAGTTAAGTTAAGTTACTAAAGTAATATGTTAACCTTGAACGACTCAGTTTGAAGGGATTCTTTCTTATCTCCCTTTGTTAATTATTTGTTAAGTTAGCATTTGCATTCACCAAAGAACAATGCAATAAAGATCTCCCTGACTCAAAATATTACCTCCTTGAACATCTATGACTTAAATCTTTAGGTTTTTTTGGGGTATTATTCAGGGCACTCAGGAAGAAGAGTAGGACTAAAAGTGTAACTTGATGCTTTTCAAGATGAAAAAAAGAGACTAACTGGAAAATTCAGGAAACGGAGGTTTAAGTCGTAAGACAGTCAAGTAAATGTTGCGTTAAACTCCGGGACTTATAGTGGTTAAAATGGAAGGACGTTAAGAATTAAAAATGAAGTCCTTTTTACGACTAGAGAGATTTAGGATAATTCCCCAATTTGAAATGTTTGCTGGTCCCTCTGACTTTGACTTGAAGTGACTTGACTGTGTAGCAATAAATTCATTTTAGTTGTAGGAAGGGCAACAGAAGTGCTGTGCTTCATTCAAGCCAAAGTGGGCATGTGAGGAATTATATTTTATTGAATTTCTGAAAGCACTTGGGAAATTTTCAGTGAAGTATCTGAACTCAATGAATCTTGATACTGTGATATAAAAAAAAAGAAAGAAGCCGTTGCTAGTGACCGTAGTAAAATGTATCTCTTTCCGAATACAGCACTGTACTGTTTTTTTTTTTATAAGACAGGAAGTTAAAAGTTCTGAAAGGGATCTTCGGCTTCCACGTCAACTAGGCATTGCAGGGTTAAACTGGCTGGCTTCAAGTTGCTTGCGATAAGAAGCCAGTCCCATGGGGTTTCAGCGAGTTCAAAAGGTCTGATTAACATGTGTCCGCTTTGGCCATGCATAGCATACAAAATAGAATGAAAACGAATGCATTTTTGCATGGAATTTTTTTTTCGGATGTCCACCGGTAAAATACTACATTAATTTCATATCAACTTGTGGCATCTCAGCAAATGGTGTTGTGTTTTTTGTTTTTCTTGCATATCGAGGATGATGTCGCGTTTTGCATTTCAAAGATTTTTTGGCTGACTATTTTCCGGTTTTAATGGTCCCTTTCATACTATTCCTGAAAAATTTGTGTTGAACATTTTAAGACTTCGAAAATATTTGAAGATCCTTCATGAACTGGGCGCGTTCTAAAACTAAGATTACGTAGTGGAATGCCAATCATATACTGTACTGTACTGTAGTAATGATCACCAGCAGTTTCTCGCGTTTAAAAAAATTAAAATTTCAATTTTAAATGTTCCTGAACTTATGAATATTGGTATCGACGGTGGTATTCTTGACTCAAGATTTTCTCCCTCTTGAACATGGTTTTTGGAGGAAGTCTAGTTGGAATAACTGAACTTGAAAGTATGAGCTTAGAAAGGCTAGCTAATCTAATTTGAAATAATTCAGGCGACACCTGTGTGATGACACAGAAAATCATGAAAATCAAGGAGTTGCGGACGTCTTGCGTTAAAGCGGGGAAAATAACGCGGAACACTGTAACGGAGCGAGGAAGATAATCTCGGAACCTACAGTAATTTGAAAATGCTGACAAATTTGTTGTGAATCAATCAGAATATTTTTATAGTATCCCTCATAGATAAAAGTTGTATTTTTTATATCCCCGTGCTATGGATTGTGTGCTTAGTATCTGAGTGTTCAGCCTGCTGCTGACTACACAAATCCGGGAGAGCGACGAAACAACTCGAGGCAGGAAAAGCACACTGGAGTATGATTTGTCTTTGAATATGAAACTAGCATCTCATTTTCTTTGGTCTAAAAAAAAAAAAAAAAAAAATTGGGTATGCTTCTAAGACGCGTCATCATTGCATGAGAATTTTCCGAAATCGAAGAAGTCGGTTGATTCTACTGATGCTCCAGTCACTAGCTCAAATTCCTCACTTTCTGTACACTGTAAATTGGGACTACTGTATGTCCCATGTTCATGTGAAAGGGAAAATTATGTGTATGGATTTGCTTCATTGTATAAGTGAGAGTGTTATTTTTCTGCTTTTTCCCTGTGAATCCAATATGCCATGAAATATGGTTGTACTCTCTATACAAAGATCTTGTCCACAATGATTTCTGTGCATAATAATTTATTTCGTGGTCCCATAAAATTCTCTCCCCAT